CTGCAGACTGAACACCTTGCTCTGGCAGCTGCTGTCCCAGTAGGCAGAGGGGTACCTAAGGGATGCATCATCTTGCCTCATTAATCTCAAATGTGAACTTTACAATGTGCAGCTCTGAGAAGCTTCCAATGAAGACAAACACTGCCCAAAGCTCTTAAATAAACAGGCTGGGGAGGCCGGAAATTTGCACCATAAAAGCTGACTGTTAAATCTGTATGTGAACTGCCCCAGGGGCTGTAGTTCAGAGCTCCAGCAACAGGTGGATATCTGCCACTGTGGAAGGGCCATGGGGCTCTGGCTCTGGGGAGCAAGTAGGTAGTTGCCTCCCAAGGAAACCCCTGGGTGCAAGTCATCTTGGCAAAGGAACCCCATTCTGAGGCCTTTCTAACGAGCAGGTGGGACCCACAGGGGTTCCCCCAGAGCAGAGCTGAGCCTCCATTACTCCCACCAGAGCCACCAAAGAGGGACTGGGAGGGCCAGAGGACCATGGGGTCCCTCAGTTGTTTCATATCACCCACTGTGTGCAGTTGGGTGCTAGACCAGCCCCTATGAGGCCCAGAATGAGTAAGCTGCAGAGAAAGCAGACAGGTTGATGGAGAATTAGTGCAGGTTAGGCCTTGAGGCATGGTGGGACATCTGAATCCAGGAAGAGGAACCATCTAGGTGAGGGTAAGGGATGGACCTGTGGGCAGTGGGTTTAGCATGCATAAAGGTTCTAAGGCAGGAGATAGATTGGCAAGGTGGGCAGAGGATGAGAAGGAGGCAGGAGATGGCTATGGTGGGGTGGATGGGTATCAGGCAGCAGGCACAGGGTCTTGAGAGTCCAGGTAAGTGTAGAGGAGACCTTGGAGGAGATCTTAAGACAGGCAGGGCAGGTGATCAGAGACACCAGCTGCCAGGTGAAGTGATACAGGAGGATGAGGGAGGTGGGAAGCCAGCAGAGCCCAGTGCTGGCTTGGTCTCCCACTGCTACCCCAATGCCTCTGGAGCCACCCTCTCAGCTGTCACCCTCCCATGGGGCCCATCTGCTCTCTTGGCCCCTAACACATACATAAGCTCCAAACATCTGGGTGCTGTAGTTTTGTGGTCAGGCTGAGTAGTGACCGCACTCACAGTGTTTGGGAGGTGATGACAGGTTTAGGGGTGACAGAGGCTGGGACTTCCATGTCCTGGGTAGTGCAGTTGGCTGAGCTGGGAGGACCAGTCAGAGACAGGCCAGTCTACAGACAGCTGACACGGTGGCCTCCAGGCTGTAACCAGCTCAGGGTGGTGTGTAATGACAGGGAACTAAGCAGTCTCTGCACAAAGTGGGTCTTAAACTCACACGAGTATGTGATGCCTCTGAGCACTGGGAGACAGCAGCAGGGTGGCACAGGGTGCCTGTGGGAACCGTATCCCTGGAGTGGGCAGCAACCGGGACCAGCCAGGACAAAGGGCAATGGGCAGATGTCGGGTTCAAGTCAGTGAGCCTGTCTAACAGAAATGAAGATAGACATTCGTGTCCCTCCCTCTGGTTATCAGACTATTGAGATGATGTACCCCAAGAAACTGGAATTGCCCTCAGGAACCTAATTCTGGGAGAAAGAAAGGGCTGAGGCCTGGTGCCCACCACAGGGGGTGGGGCGCTCGTGTCCCCTGTAAAGATTTCATACAGTTCTGACAATTTTTGTCAGACCCTGTATATGAGGCAATGATGGGTCAGTGATGGGCAGGCCCACACCTGGACAAGCCTGCTTAGCTATGTATGCCTCTTGCTCTGTATTTAAACCTAAACCTCATGTCAGGACCCTAAGATGGACTGGGGGGGTCACAGGATCCCTTTATTTCTCCTCCCAATGTGCACACATGAAATAACTCCCCTTCCTCTGCTTTTCACACTTACCTACTTCTTTAATTGACCTACTGAAGATAGGTGGCCAAGCTTGTCCAGCCTTCCAGGGCCCAGGCTCTGACCCTAACCACATGGTCCTCCCTCTCTGGATCCAGCTCCTGCCATCTCCCTGGCACTTTGGGCTCTGGTTGAGCCTTGGCTGAGTCTTGGCCTCTGCTCTCTTGGGGCTCCTCCAGCCTCCCCATCTTTGCCAGGGAGCCCCATTCTCCATCCCAGTTCCTCTGGGGGCCTTCCCCGTCCCCTGCAGCAACAGTTGTGCCCAGCACAGGAAAGAGCACAGGACCCTGTGTATAACATGTCAGGCCTCAACAGTTCTTGCATAGGTCTCTCCCAGGCCCATCACCAGTCTATTCACAGATAAGGCCCCAGAACACAATGAAGCAAAGTAATGAAGGACAGCAGGTCTGAGAAGCCGCAGGTCCCACCAAGACCCACAGACTTAGCCATGTCTGCTTTTCGTGGTGACAGGTACCTGCCTGCTACTCAGGCACCTGTCTCCTCCCTCTGTGCCCTCCAGGGTCTAGAAATCTGGTTTGTGAGGCTCAAAGGGCACCAGTAGGGTTTGTCACAGGATCCCTTTATTTCTCCTCCCAATGTGCACACATGAAATAACTCCCCTTCCTCTGCTTTTCACACTTACCTACTTCTTTAATTGACCTACTGAAGATAGGTGGCCAAGCTTGTCCAGCCTTCCAGGGCCCAGGCTCTGACCCTAACCACATGGTCCTCCCTCTCTGGATCCAGCTCCTGCCATCTCCCTGGCACTTTGGGCTCTGGTTGAGCCTTGGCTGAGTCTTGGCCTCTGCTCTCTTGGGGCTCCTCCAGCCTCCCCATCTTTGCCAGGGAGCCCCATTCTCCATCCCAGTTCCTCTGGGGGCCTTCCCCGTCCCCTGCAGCAACAGTTGTGCCCAGCACAGGAAAGAGCACAGGACCCTGTGTATAACATGTCAGGCCTCAACAGTTCTTGCATAGGTCTCTCCCAGGCCCATCACCAGTCTATTCACAGATAAGGCCCCAGAACACAATGAAGCAAAGTAATGAAGGACAGCAGGTCTGAGAAGCCGCAGGTCCCACCAAGACCCACAGACTTAGCCATGTCTGCTTTTCGTGGTGACAGGTACCTGCCTGCTACTCAGGCACCTGTCTCCTCCCTCTGTGCCCTCCAGGGTCTAGAAATCTGGTTTGTGAGGCTCAAAGGGCACCAGTAGGGTTTGCTTCATGCCATACACTGTCACCAGCACAGGGACAGCCAGGTACAAGAGAGGGTTTTTCACAAATGACTCCATCTGTGAGGAACAAAGGCTGCCTCCAGCCCTGGCCAGCCTTGCCCTGAACCTGATGCTAACAGTGCCTGCCACATGGGGACTGGGAAGCCACCAAACACAACCTTCTCAACCGTGCTGAGAAGGACAGGTGCCTAGCCACCCTCAGCCCTCTGGCACTCAGACAGCAAGGCCGGAAATGGACATACAGAACCAGCACCCCAACCACATCCTGGATGACCATTTATCACATTTACACCACCCATCACCAGACAAAGAGCAGAATCCAGCCACTGTCCCTCACTAGACCTGTGACCTGTGATTCAGGTGTGGACATTGGAGGGTCCTTTCTTGTGAATGAGACTAAGGCCTTTATAAAAAGGCATCACACACCCCTGTGTCTCTTCCTGGTGCCACCAGCTTCCATTCTGGTCCCTCCATGCCATTTGTATACACAGTGTCCTCACCATAAAGGGACATGGCTCTCATCACACAACTGAGCCTGTCTGAGCCTTGACCTTGGACTTCTAGCCTCCAGACTGTGAGACATGAATGTTTGTTCCTTATAGCCTGCCTAGTCTCATGTACTTTGTTTAACACTACAAAACAGACAAGGACACCCACCTCCCAAACCCTGCAAAGGCCGGTCCATGCGATCCTCAAGGATGCCACCCAGCCTTGGGAGGGGGCAGGTACTCCTCCAGGAAAGAGCAGTTCCTAACGATGCTCCCTTGGGAAGCCTTTCTGGCCTCTGGTTATCTTAGGCCTATGTGGCTGCACCCCAGGAGTGTGCTCAGCTTCCCAGTCTTTTGGGGACAGCACAGGACTTGAGTTTTCAGAAGGCCTCACAGCTCTGACAGAACAAAGTCTGCCTGTTGGCATGATGCTCATGGCCACCTACTGTCCCATCCTGACACCAAGTCCCATCCCCACCCAGCTGCTATGAGCTACCTACACTTTCCAATGCTTTGGGTACCCAGAGCTGAGCCAGCAAAGGTCTGTTCACACCCGTCCCTCTTTCCAGAATGCTTTTCCCTCTGCACAGAGAAAACCCAGCCTTGTCCTCCGAGAGGTGGCTTAGAAGGCCCTTGGCCCCTTTCCTGGTGTCCCAGTCTCTCCTCGGTGGTGCTCTCAGTGTCATGCAGAGCCCATTCTGACTGCAAGCTGAGGGTACACGGGACCCAACACCACGTGAGCCTGGGGCCGGCTGGATTGCATGGGTGACCAGCCAGGGAATACTCATCATGTCACATCAAGAGCAGAATCTGGCACCCTGAGCAAAGCCCCAGACAAGGCACAGATCAGCGGGGTTTTGTAGCAGTTTCCTGGATGTATAAATCTCCTGCAAGGTAAGAAGTGACCTAGAGCCACCTGTAGGTCAGGGGAGGCTGCCCTGGCACTAAGTCACCTCTCTCTTAAAGATAGCACCCACAGAACGCCAAGTAGTGGAATACCCACTGGCTTGCAGTCCCAAACTGCCTACTGGAGCCTGCCCAGGCAAAGGGATAAGGGAAGAAAACCAGGATGGTCCCAGAGGGTGGACACTGGAGATAGAGACCGATAAAAGCTCTCTACCAGCATCCTACCAAGCCACAGGAGGACAAGGAGTGTGGCTGGGTCAGAGCACCACAGCCTCCCAGGCCCCACCAGACTGCCACACCGGCTTTCAATCCCGACTAGCTCCGTGGCCTTCCTGAGTTTCTCCACCTGGAAGGCCAGAGGGTTGGCCGAACTGTTTCGAAAGGGCCGCCCAGCTGTGCCCAAGCAGCAGGGTCCTCGAGCTTGGGCCTCTCCCTGGGCCTCAGTTTCCCCAGAACAAGGCTTTCATCCGCGGAGGGGGAGCTTACCCGAGGGGCAGGCGCCCTTCTGCAGCTGGCGCACCGGCGTCCCGGAGAGCTGCAGCGCGCGGCGGCTGGCGGCCTGCAGCGCGCACACGTCGGCGTAGGTGTGCCCGTCGGTGCCACACACGGCGTGCGTCCAGCGGCAGCGGCACACGCCGCGCACGCACTCCAGGCTGTCCCCGCACGGGGCGTCCAGGGGGCGGCCACAGGGCTCGCCCTCGCTGGCGGCGCACACCAGGCAGCAGTTGCAGAGGTCCGGCACGTAGCCGCCCGGGCAGCGCGGGCTGGGGCAGCGGGACACGTCGCAGCGCGCGGGACACGGCGCCGCCGGGGG